ACTGTGACCTGGGAGACCAGGGTTCAAATCCCCACTCAGCCATGAAGCTCACTGGGTGACCTTGGCCCAGTCACAGTCTCTCAGCCTGATCTACCTCACAGGGTTGCGGTGAGGATGAAATGGGGAGGAGAACCATGTGTGCCATCTTGAGCTCCTTGGGAGAAAAGGGGGTATACTATAGTTTATAAAAATAAACTCACCGAAGGACCCCTCTTCTGTCCAGTGCTCAACAAATGACAGTTATCTGGTTCAGAATGCTTGGAGGTTAAATGGAAACTTAAGAGACTGACTGACCACATTTGGTTGGTGACCTTTAGCAAAGGCCTTGCCTGCATGGAAACCACTGTGTCCAATACATAGAAGCACCAGCCCCTTGTCAGTCTAGGGACCCTACTTACTTTGAATCATTCCTTCCTGCTAAGCATTCCTCCTTTCTGCACCTTTCTTCCTTGAACTCCCTGCAGCCTGGGCCATAGTTAAATTTCTTTGTATAGATACTTTGGAGGTGGCATCTCTCTGCAACTCCAGGTGATAGTCCCACGCCCCCCCCCCTTCTGAAACATGGGCTAACACACAAAATTGGGAAACACACTAATGTAAGGTTACTAGATTTTGTTCCAAAGAATCCGGTGACACCTTTAAAAAAAGAAAAGGGAAAAAAGTTTTTTGTGTTTTTTTTAAAAGAACTAATATCTTCTCTTCTGTGGTCTCCTCTGTAGCGCGGCCTTCCTCTGCGCCCCGGCCTGCTCTCTTGGAGCGCTAGCCACTGTGGAGTTGTCTCGGGGTCGGGCCTGGGCTCGGCCACGTGTCCTTGCCCTCCCGGTGCTCTCCTACGTCTCCTCCTCAGCGGCGGTGCAGCAAGGTCAGGGCTCCCCTCTGTTTTCTCCTTCCTCTTTCTCTCTCTTCCTTCTCCTCCTCCTCTCCTCCTTCTCCCTGTGCCAGCTCCGGGGTTTTTACTGTCCCCGGAGCGCCGCTGGGCAGTCAGCCGGGTGGCCGGGCGCTCTCACTCATGACTTGATTTGGGTCCCAGCGGGGGGGGTCAGAGGTTCCCCCAGTTGACACGCCGGGCATCACTGGTTCCCCCTTGGCTGTGGCAGCGGCGGCAGTCTCAGCAGCCTGGAGCCAGCCTGGTAGCGCAGTTGGCTCTGGCTGGCTTCAGGAGCTGTTCGCTGCTGTGGCGCCCGCCATTTTTCCTCACTGGACGTCCCCATATGATGTGTCTTGCGCCGTTGAACCAATCACGCAACATTCATTCCCTACTAAGAAATCTACAACACTTAAAATATAAATCCAGGGACATTAAATGAAATCTGGGGACGGATTTTGTCCGGGGACAGATTTGTAAATCCGGGAACTGTCCCTGGGAAACAGGGACATCTGGTAACCATAAGTTATATGCATTTTTGAGCACATTACTTGGCTGGAAAACTGCATTGCGAAATTCGGAGAAGTGCAAATTTCGAAAGATTGCTGTGTTTCAGTTTGCCTGGGAAACGGGGACATCTGGTACCCATAAGTTATATGCATATGGTAACCATACGCTAAGGATTTGGGAGGGTGGGAAGGTGCAGGCAAGGCAAGGCAGAGGCACCACAAGCCCAGCAAGTTAAAAGCCACACCAAATACAATAGTGCTCTTTCCACCACCGTAGACTGAGCCTTTGCCTCTGACTCAGAAACACCTTGGGTGGCTCCCTGGATCTTTGTTTCCACATTCAGCACACAAGAGAGTAAGGACACCACCCTCCTAGTAAAGGGTGGCTGAAGCATAGTGAGAAAATGTGCTTCGTGACGGGAACACATTAATCATAATGCTACTGATACGAGGTACCAGAGTCTTTTAGTGAACAGTAGAAATTAACAAATGGTAGGTTTTTTTATTATTTGGGATATGAAAGGGGGGAAACAGCTGCAGGGAAATTATTGGGCTAGCCTATGCAAAAAGGACCTGGCCAAGTTAGGACCATTAATAAACAATGCAGGGCCATTGAGGGCCATTGCAATGCAAGGGAACTGTCCTTCCCCACTGCCCTGAGGTGAAGACAGAAACAGGGGGTTTGGGTGTGATGTCACAAGAAGAGTTTGGGGCTTGGAATGGCTGAGAAAAGAGCAAAAAGATATTGGCTGGCTGGCTGAAGTGGTCTGGATTCTAGCACTGCTGTGGGGAACAAGCCCCTCTTGAGATGACCATGCTGTAAGAACTGGACTCCTTCTATGTAGACTAAAGCTGTAAAGGTACCCCTGGCCGTTAGGTCCAGTCGCACATGACTCTGGGGTTGCGGCGCTCATCTCGCTCTATAAGGCCGAGGGAGCCGGTGTTTGTCCGCAGACAGCTTCCGGGTCATGTGGCCAGCATGACTAAGCCACTTCTGGCAAACCAGAGCAGTGCATGGAAACGCCGTTTACCTTCCCGCTGGGGCGGTAGCTATTTATCTGCTTGCACTTTGACGTGCTTTCAAACTGCTAGGTTGGCAGGAGCAGGGACCGAGCAACGGGAGCTCACCCCATCGCGGGGATTCGAACCGCCGACCTTCCATTTGGCAAGCCCTAGGCTCTAAATGTAATTAAATCAATAAAGCGAGATGAGTGCCGCAACCCCAGAGTCGTCCGTGACTAACGGTCAGGGGTCCCTTTATCTTTACCTTAAACCACATTTCTAAAGGCACAGCATGCATGTATAAGGGTGCCACTACCGATAAGGCCCTCTGCCTGATTCCCTGTAGCTTGGCTTCTCACAGTGAGGGAACCGCCAGAAGGCACTCAGCGCTGGACCTCGGAGTCCGGCAGAATGATGGGGGTGGAGATGCTCCTTCAGGTATACTGGGCTGAGGCCGTTTAGGGCTTTAAAGGTCAACACCAACACTTTGAATTGTGCTCGGAAATGTACTGGGAGCCAGTGTAGGTCTTTCAAGACCGGTGTTATATGGTCTCGGCGGCCGCTCCCAGTCACCAGTCTAGCTGCCACATTCTGGATTAGTTGTAGTTTCTGGGTCACCTTCAAAGGTAGCCCCACATAGAGCGCATTGCAGTAGTCCAAGCAAGAGATAACTAGAGCGTGCACCACTCTGGCAAGACAGTTCGCGGGCAGGTAGGGTCTCAGCCAGCATACCAGATGGAGCTGATAAACAGCTGCCCTGAACGCAGAATTGACCTGCGCCTCCATGGACAGCTGCGAGTCCAGAATGACTCCCAGGCTGCGCACCTGGTCCTTCAGGGGCACAGCTACCCCATTCAGGACCAGGGAGTCCTCCATACCCGCCCGCAAGGGAAGATCTGGCTGTGCTGGACTAAGCTGTCGTTCCTGAAAGCCCATCCACTGTTTGCTGATCTTCTTATTGGGAAAAATCCTCATGGTGTGAAAACACATTATGAGGCAGTGGTGCCAAAGCTCATTAGATGGGGGCCTATGCCTGGAAACCCTTAAATATCGCAAGAGAAGAAAGGCAGGATAGGAATGTAAAATACAGTAAGGCGCTTTCCGCATTATAAATTTAAAGCAGTAGGACATGGCTCACCAAAGTCAACATCGCTGCATTTATTTAAGAATAAAAATAATCTAAAATGTCGCAGTCAAGTGCAGAAACAAACCATTCTTGAAATATATATTGTGTTTGACATGAAGAGTTCTGGACACAAAATGGAGCTTTTTTAATAGATTTTTTTATATAATAATAATAATAATAATAATAATAATATATTTTTTATTTGTATCCCACCCTCCCTAGCCAAGGCCGGGCTCAGAGTGACTAACATCATAAAAATAACACAATGTGCATAAAAACAGACACCAATTAATTAAAATACATATTAAAATTAATTCAGATAAGTTAAAATCTGGGCTGGTGGCAATTATCAGGTTGGAAATGAGAGTGGTTGATACTTGCCAGGGTCAACTGTTTCCACTGATCCTACAAGGACCTGTGAGCGGGTTTGGGGCCTCCTTTGGGCTTGTTTTATACAAAGGAAAGTACGGTAAGTCAAACTGCATCCTGCCCAAAGGCCTGGCAGAACAGCTCTGTCTTGGGTTTGGGTTTTTGATAATTTTATACATATAAAACATAACCATTTCAAACATTAAAATACAAGGTTCTTTTGAACCTTTGGACCTCCTTCTCTCCTCCAGGGGTTCCATGTTTGAGTTTAAATTTGCTGCTTCTTTTACCATTATCCATATATTATATAACCATAATTATCATCAATAGTTCCACATTACAAGTGTCATTACATCCCTGCCAAAGATTTTAACTGTTTACAGTGGTCTTTTAAATAAATTACAAATTTACGCCAGTCTTTAGAAAATACTTGATCTTCCTAGTTTCGGATCTTCCCCATCAGTTTCGCCATCTCCTCATACTCCATCAGTTTCACCTGCCGTTCTTCTTTTGTTGGTACTTCTTCCTTCCATCTCTGGGCTGGTAGCACTCTTGCTGCCATTGTTGCATACATAAAAAGTCTTTTTTCTCCTCTTGGTAACTCTTCACCTATTACACCTAGTTAAAAAGGCTTCTGGTTTTTTAATAATTGTATTTTTAAACATTTTCTTTAGTTCATTATATATCATTTCCCAGAAAGCCTTTACCAATGCACATGTCCACCACATATAGTAAAAATTACCCTCTTTACATTTCCAACACAACTTTGAACTTGTTTTGTACATTTTAGCCATTTTACTCAGCGTTGGATACCGACAATACATCATTTTCATATAGTTTTCTTTCATATAGTTTTCTTTCTATAGTTTCCTTCTGGGAACAGCATGCAGTAAACTTTATTCCTTCTTTCCATAACTTTTCACAAGATGAAAGTTGGATATTATACCCAAAAGCTCTAGCCCAGTGTATCATCACTGCCTTAACTACTTCATCTTTTGTATGCTGTTCTAAAAGTAATTTGTATTTTTTTTATAACACTTTCCCATTATTTTCTACTTCAAACCTCGATCTTATTGTATCAAAACAAAAAAATTGAGCTTTCTTGTATCCAGTTTCATTTTAATATTATATACACACACACACACACACACACACAAGAAAGCTCCATTTTTTGGTTTTGATACAATAAGATTGATATATATCGATCCATATCTCTCTCTGTGTGTGTGTGTGTATATATATATATATATATATATATATATATGAATGAAACTGCATACAAGAAAGCTCCATTTTTTTGTTTTGATACAATAAGATCGAGGTCTGATATATTATATATATATATATCAGATGTTCTCCCTACAATTTGCAAAGGGCATAGGAGGAGAACATGACCCAGCCAGAAGTGAGCAAGGGATCCCATTGATTTAGTTCTCCCATCGAAAGGAAAGTGTTCAGAACTTCTTTTGATTCTTAATGCTTTGGTAAAAGCTTATGGTCGGCACAAGTGGCCGTAAGTTCCTTGCGAGGTGTCCTTGGCCTCAATTGCTCACCGTCGATGCGCTGGCTGTCTTCATTCTTATTCGCATGTGCCATAGCTTTTCAGTCTTGCATTCATCAGCAGTGATTTGTCTTATGTAAAAAAAAAAAATTCTTTGCCTCCGGCATACGTGGTGGGAAATGATCTTTTTTTAAATTATTATTGCTCCATTGATGTGTGTCTCATCTGCATTTTTGGGAAAACATTGCCTCCTGAAAAGGAAGTAATCATGTACTGGAGACAGACAGGTACAATCTGCCGTCTTCCTTCTGGGAATTTACTTTATTAGCTTCCTTGAGCTGGCCTTTACCCTTTAGGCCTGGTCACGTGTTGCCTCACAGATACCAGTTTGCTTGTTGCTACAATTCCCAAACTGAATACAGTCATACTTCGGGTTACAGACGCTTCAGGTTGCGTTTTTTCGGGTTACGGACCGCCAAAACCCAGAAGTACCGGAATGGGTTACTTCCGGGTTTTGGGGCTCGCGCTAAATCTCGCTTTGCGCATGCACAGAAGTGCCAAATTGCAACCCGCGCGTTTGCAACCCGAGCGTCCACTGTAGTCAATACTTCTTCCCAGGGAACTCTGGGATTTGTAGTTCCGTGAGGGGAATAGAGGGTCCCCTAACAACCCTCAACACCAGGCATAGGCAAACTCGGCCCTCCAGATGTTTTGGGACTACAACTCCCATCATCCCTGACCACTGGTCCTGCTAGCTAGGGATGATGGGAGTTGTAGTCCCAAAACATCTGGAGGGCTGAGTTTGCCTATGCCTGCTCAGCACCTTTAAGAAACTACATTTCCCAAGAGTCTTTGGGGGGGGAAGTCATGACTATTTCAATTAGCATGATACCGCTTGAAATGTATAGCAAAGTTATGGCCCAAGGCTGTGTGCACACTATACATTTAAGGCATGTTCTTTCCCTCAAAGAATTCTGAGTACCGTTGTTTACTCCTCAGTTACGATTCCCAGCATCCCTTAATGTGCTGAGAATCCTCTGAGGGGGAAAATATGCTTCAAATGCGCTTTAAAAATATAGTGTGCACTGTATCTAAAGAATGTAGGAACCCTCAAGGACCATGTGATGGTTACTATTACTAATATTATTTATTTAATAATAATAATAATAATAATAATAATATTTATTACATTGGTATACTGCCCTTCATCCGAAGATCTCAAGGGGGAAGACAGCATAAAAATGCAAAATAAAAACACAAAATACATAATAAAAACAAGGACAAACCAAACCAATAATCCCCCTCTCCCACAAACCCATTTAAAAGGACTTAGGCTATCAATCAGCCAAACGTCTGGTTGAAGAGGAATGCTTTTGCCTCTTGCCTAAAGGTGTATCATGAAAGTGCTTGCTGAACCTCATTGGGAGAGCACTTGACAAATAGAGAGCCACTGCAGAAAAGGCCCGTTCTTATGTTGCCACCCTCCGGATCTCTTGTAGAGGAGGCACACAAAGAAGGGTCTCGGATGATTATCTCAGGTCCCAGATCTGTTTGTATGGGGAGAGGTGTTCCTTGAGGTATTGCGGTCCCTGAGCCCTTTAAGGCTTTATAGGTCAAAACCAACACTCTGAACTGGGCCCAGAAATGTGCTCAAACCATCTTGCCCGGGGGTGGGGTGAGGGGAGCAACCTGGTCTAGAGGATATGCAGTGAGTGATTTCTTCAGATTCTGTTCATTTCATACAGGGATGGAGAACTTTGGCCCTCCAGATGTTTCTAGACTCCAACTCCCATCATCCCCAACCATCTGTTGATGGAATCTGGAATTCCAGCAACATCTGGATGGCCACAGGTTTCCTGCTTCTGATACAAGGCAATTTGAAAGCAACTTTTAAACAACAAGCACTCTCTGGAAGTAAAGATTGTCTTTGGGGTGAGGCTGGAGCAGGGAAAGACTTGGATCTTTCAAATTCCAGTGGCCAAAATTTGGGGCCCTCTGCCTTCCATTCTGTGCACCCACATAGTTGTGGTGCCCTGCGACAACCCCCTCAGCTTGGCGCCCTGTGTGGGGGATCCAGTCGCGCTGCCCTAAATGTACCTCTGGCTGGAGTGTGGTGTAGTGGTTCAGAGCGGTAGACTAGTAATCTGGTGAACTGGGTTCGCTTCCCCGCTCCTTCACATGCAGCTGCTGGGTGACCTTGGGCCAGTCACACTTCTCTGAAGTCTCTCAGCCCCACTCACCTCACAGAGTGTTTGTTGTGGGGGAGGAAGGGAAAGGAGATTGCTGGCCGCTTTGAGACTCCTTAGGGTAGTGATAAAGTGGGATATCAAATCCACTGTTGCTTGTGTCTGGGTATGTTTATTCAAAGGATTTCCCTGTATCTGTGTTCTTGTGGAGAGGGTGTCTCAGCGACATTTGTAGGAGTCAATCAGAAGAGTACAAGCAACATACAGTGGTACCTTGGTTTGCAACCATTTTGGATTACAACCATTTTGGATTACAACCACATCAAACCCTGAAGTGTGAGTCCCTTTTTTTGGATTACAACCCATTTGTTTTGGAGGCCCCATTGGCAAAAGCGTGCCTTGGGTTACAACCTGTTTTGGTTTACAACTGGACCTCTGGAATGGATTATGGTTGTAAACCAAGGTATCACAGTACTGCAAAATAAGCAGCCAGCCCTGGCCCTGGCGCTCCCCTGGAAGAAAGAGGAAGAGAGTATTTGCACAGGAAACTCGCTTGACAGGCAAGAAAGAAGCGTTGCTCACTTATGAGACTAGACAGGACGGCTCTCAGACCAGGTGTGACTTCCCAGAAAGCAGCTCCTCTCTCTCTCTAACTCCCTGCCTTCGGTATAAAAGTTCCGTATTTTTCGCTCGATAACACGCACCTGACCATAACACACACATAGTTTTTAGAGGAGGAAAACAAGAAAAAAAAATTCTGAATGAAACAGTGGATGTATCATTTTTGTGCTTCATGCTGTGGCCACAGACATGTGATTTGACGGTGAGTTTGGGGTAGCCCAATGCAAAGATCCTGAGAATCCATGTGGATCTGTGCTTTGTAACCACGTTTTTGCACCATTGCAGCCCCAGGCAACAGTGGGTGCGTGATTTTTTTGGTGCAGGCTGTAGCCATGGACATGCTATGTGATCTGATGGTGAATTTGGGGTGACCCTATGCAAAGATCCTGAGGATCCATGTGGATCCGTGCTTTGTAACCACGTTTTTGCACCATTGCAGCCCTGTTTTTGCATCAGATCATTGCTATGTGATCTGATGGTGAATTTGGGGTGACCCAATGCAAAGATCCTGAGGATCCATGTGGATCCGTGCTTTGTAACCATGTTTTTGCACCACTGCAGCCCTGTTTTTGCATCAGATCATTGCTATGTGATCTGATGGTGAATTTGGGGTGACCCAATGCAAAGATCCTGAGGATCCATGTGGATCCGTGCTTTGTAACCACGTTTTAAGTGGGTAGGGAAGGAAAAACATAGAAGGGACAAGGAGCACCGAGAGGGGTGTGCGGAGAAGCAGCTGGCTAAGAATGCAGGAGAGGGATTTTGCCGGAGGGAGGAAAGGAAGGCAAAAGTTCCCCCCACGCACCCACCCAAGCCAGCCAGCTCTCTCTCTCCCCCCCCCAAGGATGCTCTGCTTTCCCCTCTGCTTGCCTGGAGGGGAGGGGTTTTCTCTGCTCTTTGTTCCGTTTGAGCAAACACAGTAACAAACAGAAGCGGGTGGGCAGTAAGACCCTGAGGCAGAATGCAGGAAAGCAGCAGCTTCCTCTTTTCAAGGCTTCCCTTCTCCGGACGATTGATATTTGTCTGATTTTTGCCTTCACTCGCGCCTGTCGGCTCCAGGGACCACACATTTGCACAATAACACGTGCAGACATTTCCCCTTACTTTTTAGGAGAAAAAATCTGCGTGTTATAGAGGGAAAAATACGGTACCCAAGCCTACGATACAGAATAATTCCAAGGGTGATTGTGGGGACCCAGGGCAGTTGCTTCCTCCATGTGTTTCAGGCCCTCTACTGATTATTCCTCAGGACCTTGGGCCCTCCAGATGTTCACAGAATTGTACAGTTGGAAGGGACCCTGAAGGTCATCCAGTCCAACCCCCTGCAATGCGGGAATATTTCATGCAATGTGGGGCTCAAACCCACAACCCTGAGATTAAGAGTCACATTCTCTACCAACTGAGCTAGCCTGGGCAGTTGCTGAACAACAACTCCCACCAGCCCTACAGAGAACAATCAAGGGCCAAGGCTGATGGGAGTTGTAGTTCAGTAACATATGGGGCCCCAAGTTTCCCTGCATCTGTTAGATAAGGAAAGTACTGGATAAATCTACTGCTGGGGCAAAAAGTACATCATGCTCTGCAGAGAGGGAAGCACTGTGATGTACTTTAAACTATGCAGTTGGATCCTGTCCTGTGTATATTCCCATGGGAGGGATAAGAGAGCAAAGAAGAGCAAACAGACTGTGTTTTGTCCCTTGCAACCAAAAGACATGTACTTTATACTCGCTTGGTTTTTATTCTGGAGCTGTGGACCAGTAAGGCAAGCACAGGAGATGACTATAGTTTGGCCTGCAACAGCATCAGTTAACCACACAAGTGCAGCTCAGGTAAACTGTAGAAAAAGCTGGACCAGTGTGGTCCAGAGAGCCAGTGTGGTGTAGTGGTTAAGAGTGGTGGACTCGTAATCTGGGGAACCGGGTTCGATTCCCCGCTC